AACTTGATATAACAGGTAATGACGCAGAGAAATCTAGTTGTGGTCGCTGATACTTTAGTATCCGACTAACGGTCGTCCGGCATCGACTGACTGACCGAAACCACTGAGCAACTCTTTACTCTTACTACGTCTACTTATTATAGGTGGGAGAGTCTATTAACTATAGAATAGGTGTGTTCCACTATAACAACTTTAAACTGAGTTACTTTGTCTTTCAAATAAATGCGTTTCATGTGAATCGTCTACAGTACTTTAAAATATTAATTAATAAAAATTAATTGCATTTTTATTCTTTAAAAGCCCTTTTTTGTCTTTTTTTAAATATTAATTATTTTGGATTAATATACTATGCGGCCCAGTAAAATTGTGAATTTTTTAATGTGTCCCTTGCACTGAAAAATTTGCCCATCCCTGATCTAAAGAATGCCACACTTACTAAAAGAGAAAGTAACTTAATTAGACGAACAATTCTTGAAAGTGCCGCGATTGTATTTTAACAAAATATAAATCTGCGTCCCGGAATTTTTCAAATATCTCTTCTTGAAAGAAATAGTTATTTCCCAAACCACAAACTATCATATTTTTTAATTAAATGAAAACGGTTAAATTTATAAACTTCTAGTATTTAAAATATATAATAAAAAAATTTCTCTAAATGAAATGATATAAATAATAATTAAATTAAAAAAAATGAACAACAACATTTACATTCACTTAATGAACTATGACCAGTTCATTCCCATTGCCTTCTCTTCTGCGGACTACAGACATACGACCAGGCTCATACATTATATCATCTATCATTGCAAAAGCAATAGTGGCACAATGCGGTATGAGTACTAATGGAGAGTGTAATGGGGATCTGCGCCGAATAGTAAAAAAATAAATTGGGCAGTTTTGTTCTTTCATTCTGTCTGGAAGGCACAACCCTAAATATCCAAACAAGTTTGATTAAAAAGACCCGACAAGTAATTTCTGTTGATATTTTTATTTCCAGTTTCTGGATAAGGTGTTGAGTGTTGGTCTAGTGTGACGTCATGCGTAACGACTACTTTGACGTCACGCTAGACTATTTCAACCGTCCAGCTTTTCAAAGAATACCAGGATGCCGGGAAAGAAAATCTAACTACCACGTAGACACCATATCTGTTCTTGATAATGACCGCGAAAGTCGAAAGTACATAAACAAAAAGCACAAAATATAAACTTCAGACAATATATATATATATATATATATATATATATATATATATATATATATAATTGTAATTGCAGAGCAAGATCTGATTGTCCACTGAAGGAATCTGCATGGCAGAAAATGTGATATAGGAAGCCACAATTTCAAAATGTAAAACAAAAAAAGATATATATAGGAATATCTGCGGGAAGTTGGAAACAGCGTTTTTACAACCATCGCCATTCCTTCACAAATTAATCCAAAAGACACCAAATAGCACTATCGAAATACTATTGGGATTTATCGGAAAACGGCTTCACCCCACAAGTGAAATGGAGAATCATCTCCAGGGCGTGAGCTCTAAGAAATTTCAGAGACCGATGTGACCTATGTATTAAAGAAAAGATATTAATGATAAAGCATAAAGATCCTAACGAGTTACTAAACCAACACAATGAGATGATCTTTAAATGCAGACATGGAAATAATCTCAATTTAACTCACTACTTATAAAAATGTCACTATCAGTTATAATATATATGCCGTTGTATATGGGCTCAAGTACATTGATATACATTCTATTTTGGCCATGATTTAATGTTGGTATATATATGCGTAGATATTAAGATCAGATGGTCAATATGGGCGTATATTTAAATATGAGGATGATTGTATGCACACGTGAGTACGTGTACATAGTTGTATGTATTAAAATATGTATATGGGCTTGCATATGGATATGATGGGAATTTTATGTATGTATATATATATATATATGTATATATATATGTATACATGTGTAAATATGTATATATGTGTATTCGTAAATTTAGGCAGGTATATGTATATATATCGATTCATAAGGTTGCATATATATTTGAATATATATATATATATATATATATATTTATTTATTTATTTATGAAATTATGTATGTGATGTATATGAATATATGTATTTATGGGTGTATGTATATATAGAGTTCTAATGGAAAGACAGAAATTTTTTTATGACCTATTAATCTTACTTTCTCTTGAAATAATTTCTAATTAGACTGGAAAAATTATAAATTTTACTCATCTGGAGATAATGTCAATTTAAATTGATCACTGAGATTTAAATTAAAAAATGTTACTCCTTAACCATTATTCATGTTGTTAAAAATATTTGAAATTAAAAATATCTTTTGAAATTTAAACACTGAATTCACCATCTAACGTTAACTGTAAAATTTAAGAAAAAAAATTAAATATGTATAAAGATGGATGCATGTGGAAATATGTATATGTATATGTAAGTAATTGAATATGTATATGCGTGTAT